TTCTAGAACAGTTAAGGCCCGGTCGCGCAGGCCTAGTGTGAGAGCAGTCATGGCCTGACTTTTATTCCAGCCGTTTGCCTTCATAACAGCCTCGAACTGGATTTTGTAGGCCGCCCAGGAAGAAGTCCCGTCAAACGGCGGCACTTTGAATCCACGTACTGCAGGTGTTGTAGCTACTACGGGATGTGTAGTTCCATCCCCCAGTGTGAGATCGTCCAGCGTTTTCTTCACATCAGCCACCACGTTGTCTACCCGATTGTTCACTTGGTCGATTTGGGTTTTAGCTTCCTTGATTTGGGTTTCAGCCTTCGCGATTTGGGTTTCAGCTTCCGACAGGCGTTTGTCATGCTGAGCAACCCTATCCTTAACCTCCTTTATCTCCTGCCCGAAGGTAGTGTGAAGATCCTTTATGAGGAGCATTTGCTCATCCAACCGACGGGCCTGTTCCTCTTGTCCGCCCGCAGCTGTTCTTCCAAACGACGGACCTGTTCTTCTTGTCCGCCCCGCAGCTGCTCTTCCAAACGACGGACCTGTTCCTCCTGTCGGCGGGCCTGTTCCTCCTGTCGGCGAGCCTGTTCCTCCTGTCGGCGAGCCTGTTCCTCCTGCTGCTCTCTCAACAGACGGGCCTGTTCCTCTCGTCCGCGCTGCAGCTGCTCCTGTAGCATCGCCATCAGAGCACCTAAGTCAAGTGCTACAGATGCAGGAGCTAATGACGGGCCCGCAGCCTCCGTGGCTGGCAGTTGGCCCTCCGACGTCTGCGCCGTTGCACCACCAAATCTCCGCTGGTCCGTCTCATGCTGGCGTTGACTGCGGGTACGGACACCCTCCGTTTCCTCCTTAGGTAAAATCGGCATGATTTTATCCCACTTCTGACACCAATTGTTACGAGCTTGAGGTTCGTGACAATAAAAATTGCCGATAGAATTACCTAAATTAACACTTTAATTCACTTTACAATAATTAAAGTTAAAAAACACTAATAATTAATCACACTGATTCACTTTATTCCGCTCCGATGCTTCGCGTGTCTCGCCAAATTCAATACTTCCCCGATCGCGTATTGCAGCGCCTTTATATAGGGCTCTTCCACGAAAACATCCAGAATATTCAAGTAAATACGCGCGCCAACCGACCAAGCGCAGAAAGATCGAGTGTAGAGCTTCTAGAAAGTTTAGTTCTTCAATTTGATACTAGATGGCGCTGTCGGTTAAAAAAATTAGTTATATCATTTTCTGGAAAGCTCTCTCCTCGCTCTGTTACCCGACACTAGATGGCGCTAGAGCTAGCATGCCATGAGATGAGATGTCAACTTAGCCGCGCAACAAGAATAAAGATGTTCAATCTTTAAACACTAGGAACAAACATAAGCTTGTAATACTAGTTACTAGAATCCACTGAGTCAGTAGTGCTTTATAGGGCAATGTATTATACGCTTTTACAACAAAATTGCAGAAAATGTACAAAATTTGTCAATTAACAACTTGAAATGTTTTATTAAAGGAAAAATGTACAAAAAGTGTTATAAATAGCTTTCATAAGAATAAAGATGTTCAAACTTTAAACACTAGGAACAAAAATAGGCTTGTAATACCAGTTACTAGAATCCACTGAGTCAATGGTGCTTTTATGGGGGCAATGTATTATACGCTTTTACAACAAAATTGCAGAAAATGTACAAAATTTGTCAGTTAACAAGTTGAAATGTTTTATTAAAGGTAAAATGTACAAGAAGTGTTATAAATAGCTTTCATAAGAATAAAGATGTTCAAACTTTAAACACTAGGAACAAACATAAGCTTGTAATACTAGTTACTAGAATCCACTGAGTCAGTAGTGCTTTATAGGGCAATGTATTATACGGTTTTACAACACAATTGAGGAAAATGTACAAAATTTGACAATTAACAAATTGAAATGTTTTATTAAAGAAAAAATGTACAAAAAGTGTTATAAATAGCTTTTATAGAATAAAGATGTTCAAACTTTAAACACTAGGACCAAAAATAGGCTTGTAATACCAGTTACTAGAATCCACTGTATCAGTAGTGCTTTTATGGGGCAATGTATTATACGCTTTTACAACAAAATTGCAGAAAATGTACAAAATTTGTCAATTAACAACTTGAAATGTTTTATTAAAGGAAAAATGTACAAAAAGTGTTATAAATAGCTTTTATAAGAATAAAGATGTTCAAACTTTAAACACTAGGAACAAACATAAGCTTGTAATACTAGTTACTAGAATCCACTGAGTCAGTAGTGCTTTATGGGGCAATGTATTATACGCTTTCACAACGAAATTTCATAAAATGTCCAAAATTTGTCAATTAATAATTTGAAATGTTTTATTAAAGGAAAAATGTACAAAAAGTGTTATTATAATATCAAAGAATACATAAAATAACTCCTGGGTATGAGGTGATCGCAATCATGCTTGCATGTACTATTAAAATTTGTTTAAAAAATGATATTGTAAAGTGAAATATGTAAAAAAGTCACGCTGGGTTTCTTGTTGGTTCTTCCCAGGACCGTGGTATCAGTGGTAAATAAAACACGATTTCCAATAAGTATTAAATAATAATCTATATTTAATTAAAAAAATGTTCTATTCTCTGTAATATAAGATATTTACTAACTAGTAGGGATATTGTATAAAGAAATCAATTGATATTGTGCAAATATTGTTAAATTTAACACATCTAATGTTATTCAATAACTAAGCAAAGAATTTTTAAACAATAAACGTTTTAAAAATAACATGTTTTTTATTTTTTGGTATAGGAACTTACAATTACCACAAGAAACATAAACAACTATTAATTAAATTGTAGCACTTGCGCAATTTAATTTGTGGTTGTATATAAAATAAAAATATTAAAGTCCAAAAAAAGGGCGAGCCCAAAGCACCAATATTTTAACGCCATCTATTAGGCAAAACAAGAACTTTAACTAAAATTAAATTTGAGTCGCACATCTATCTCTAGTATATATACAGTAATCTATGAACCTAGAATTAATCACTGACTTAGAAGTTAGAAGTATCTCTATGGAATTAATTGATACTCTAGTATATACACAGTAATCTGTTGACACCATAGATAAATAAATATGTAGCAAGCTAGTTGACACTATATATACAGTAATCTATGGTTGACACTTTTTTCGCTATATGCAAATACCCGTTTTATTGTTATCTGACGGTTTATAACGTTTATTTTTATGCAGTTAGTACATAATAATGTAAAATCACGGTGCGTATCTACTCAAAAGTGACAAAAAATCAATATCAGGGTAACACAAATGAGTTTGGGAACCTGGGAACACGAATGAAATTCTCATAACACGAATGAAGTCTGCATGACACTAATGATATTGGCTAATTAAATCACATCACATACTTTACGATTGTAATATAGGGTACGTACTACTATTATGTATTCTGTAATATTAGTATTTTTTAATAATGCACAAGAAAATATGTATGTTAGCACTATGGTCAATTGTAGGTGAGAACAAAAATTAAAATACTTTTATTAAACTTTTAATCAAAAGACATTTAAAAACAATACTAAACAAATATTAAGAATAACACGATTACGTAACATAATTATTTTGTGATCTACAAAATATAAGTGACAAACTTTTTGGTTATAACAATGTATAATTATGTAGGCATATATTTCTCATAAAAGTATTTCTACCTCATTTATTTATTCAGTCATTTTGGCTAGGTAATATTATATTAAATAGGGTAACGTACCCAGTGTCCGGTTACATTCTTTAATTCGGGGATGATTATCTAATTTATGCTCTTCATGAATTTCTGCTGTTGTAACAATAGATGTAGATATAACATTTTGTAAATCTAAGTCTACTGGTGGCATATCTTTTGTAAAACTTTGAAATTTATCCATAATTACTTCTATTTGTCTGTCAATTTCTTGCGAATAAATATTAAGTTTGCTTAGGTCCATCCAATTAGATAATATATCATTACTGTGTACATGTGTTTTGCTCATAAGTTGAATATTTGAGCCCAAATCTGTATAATTTAAAAAGGCGATCTCTGTTTCCGTTATAATTGATTTTGAGTCACTGAGATCAAATGGGATAACAGAAATATCGTCTAAAGTAACATACGAGTCAACTTTGGGAGTATCAAGTATATGTACATTTTCATCAGGGGATTTAGTGGATTTGGGTGTAGATTTATGTGAACTTTTTCTTTTGGGAGTGGATTTGCGTCTTCCGGTTGGATTTCATATCATTTAATTCCTTTAAAATTACATTTGTTTCAATACCATGTTTTACATATAGGTTTGTAACTCGTATAACTTTCATAGCAATATCGATGTCCGGGGATGTTATCCCAGTAGATGAACGCTGGTTTCAAACCTTTGCATTATCTTTAACACATTTAGTATAATCAACAGCCTCTTCATCTAAGGGAAACAAACCCCATTTCTTGAAACCATTTTTTATCTGCTGGGGCATATCAAACGCATTTAGTGCTTTTGCATATAAGGGAAAAAAGTTAGTTTTTTTCATAGCACTGTTCCACGGATCTTCGGATTCAGAATGGAATTCCCTCACAGTATTCTTCCAACCTTGCTTCAATGGCTTAAACACACTCACGTCTGCAGGTTGAAGCATGTGTGTCATTCGTGGGGGCAAAGTATATGAAATGATACCGCTACTTTCACAAAACTCGCTCAAGGGTAATGTCATATGAGATTTATGACCATCTACTAGTAAAAGCATAGGTTTTTTAATTTTGTCCTCGATTAGCCATTTATTACATTCATTACAAATATATTCAAAAAAGAAATCGCCACGCATCCAGCCACTTTCGGATCGGCCTAGTACCCAACCTTTTGGCATGCTTTGTACTATTGAACGAGGAGGTCTTACATATGGAAATATGACAAGTGGGGGACAAATCTTTCCACTAGTAGTAAATATTACCAAAATTGTAATATTTGTTTTTTCTTTACTCACTTTTACTTCATAAACATTTTTATATCCCCTTGGAGCCAAAACTTCCCAGTTTGAGAGCATAATGAAAACCCAGACTCATCACCGTTAAAAATTCTGTTACCATCATTTAGAACGTCAGAAGCATTAATCTTGGTTAAATATTTACGAAGATTTTGAAACCAATTCCTTATTGTAGCTTCAGTCACTAAAACTCTATCTTTGCTGAAATTTTCAGGAACTCTTAATGAAATTTCTGGATGCCTCTTTAAAAACGATTTTAGCCACTTTTGTCCCGGTATGCCATCTTTAAAGGGGTTTTTAAGGTTTGATTTCTTTACTATATTTTCGATTTGACCTCGGTATTGCATGTTTTCTACAAGCATATCAAATGCTTTCCTTTCCTTCGCGTATATTTTGTAAAGCTTTACGCAGTGTCTCATCGCTGTAATTTAGTTTTTTTGATTTTGATTTTAATACACCTTCCAATTTTTTTGCCGACTCAGTCATTTTTGCAGCTTTCTAGAACAATAAAAACACATTAGATTAGATAATACAGGAGTCGTGTAGCATCATTTTCATTTCAAAAACTACTTAGAAAATAAAAAAAAAACAATTCTGCTGCAACTACGGCAAATATCCCCTTAATAATAATTAATCATTTATATAATATAATATAAATAAATCATTCGCCCTAATATTTAATAGTGGACTACGTGCAACAACGATCACTGGAAACTGAGGATTGGGTCACAGGGTCCATTGTACCTGGAGAATGGCGAGAAGTACCATCTTTAGCATTAAGCGATTTACCACCAAACAATGCAAGAAAGCATAGTGAAAATGCCCGCCGCGTGCGTGACGTATATGCAGAAAAGTTCGTCACTTCATGCACTGTACCATGGCAATGGAACATGATAAGAAGAATATGATGTAATAATACTGAATAAACCTATACAATTCATATACGTTGTTTTTGTTTGAGTATAAGTATTAAGTAGGTACCTACCTAGCTTCTGTTCATGTAGTGGTCGCTTATCGAACAGACAGACAGAGTTACTAGGATATGGATTAATATTCTGGATATGTATTAGTATGGATTGATAAAAGATTCTACTTACGAGACTTGATGTACTCTGCTGTGGGACGCATACACTGCTTAAAAATTCTGCATGTTTAAACCAGTACAGGGTCGGTACATAGACATCGTCAGAAGAGCAACCGCTTTTAGTAGACTGCTTTATTTTGGTTAATTCTGTTGTATACCGGGTCCTTATCGTTTTTATTTTATGTTTAATATCTTCTTCAGTAATCTCTAAGTTTAAATCACTGATTAGAGATTTTATAGAGTTTGCCCGCATTGTTCGGTCTTTGTATTCATCAATTTTGTGGTTCCAAAGGCCTTGATAATTTTTAAAGTTCTCCAAAAAAAGTAATGTATTTTGATCGTTCCACTTGAACACCATTTTGCCGCATGAAAACAATATAATAACACACAGAAAAAAATATAACTTCGTCGACAACGTGATGTCCGTCGGCTACAGGACTCGAAACAAAATGGCCGAATCCGAATGAACGTTCTCTCAGTGTTCAGACCGTTCATTTCTCGTTCATTCGGAGTGGGAATGAAAGATACCGGATGCCAATATCCAACACTGTTGGATCGGTTCACTAATGAATTCATTCGGCACTCGTGTTTCATTTTTTGTTCAGACATTTCATTTCGAGTGAAATGTACCGAATGAAAGGTGAAAATGAACAAAAAATGAACCGTCTGATATCACCTTAAGGACCAGAGTATAGATCACTTAGTTTATTACCTGACTCATTTTTTAAGAGAACTAAATCATTTACATTGTATTTTATAGGCTTGGTATATTTATCAAATATAATTTTTCTTTTTTTCTTTAGACTTTATCAAATTATTTCTTACATCTCTTTGTGACAATTGTAACCTGTATTTGAGCTCACATGGATAATGATCGTAGTTATAAAGTGGCTCTAAATCTACTGTCAAATTACTAGGAAGTGAACATTTTTTACCAAAGACAAGTTCATAAGGACTGAATTTCGTCTCTGTATGAACTGTCGTATTATAGGCAAACAACCAAAACCAGTCGCTCCATGTTTCAGGGTGATTATCCTGGGTTATATTTGAATGCGAAGAAAAGCATTTAAATTTTTATGTGACACTTCCAACGCACCTAGTGATTGGTGGTGGTAAGCAGTCGAATTTAATTGTTTTATTTGAAGCAATTTACATACCTCTTGGAATAATGATGCGGTGAACTCTTTCCCTCTGTCAGTAGTTATTACTTTCGGTACTCCATACCTAAGAATAAAGTTAGTAACAAAACTCTTTGCTACTTCGTTGATTTTTTTAGAAATTAAGGGATATGCTTCGACATACTTAGTGAGTTCGCATTGTAGCGTTAAAGCATAAGAGTAATTATTATTATCAACTTCAAATGGACCTACTAGGTCTAAATATATCTTTTCAAACGCTGTGTTAGCTGTCGTTGTTATTTCTAATGGCTCTCTTATGGGTAACGAAAATTTCTGATGCTTCGTTCTTTACATCCTTATCTAACTCAGGCTAATAATAATACTTTTTTATATTGTTGACCATCCTTCTCATACTTGCATGGCCACTGCTAGGTAGGAGATGGAAGTCATTTAATATCACCTTTCTGTCATCCTTATTATATATCGTTTTTATATTATTTATTATATGTACATGTGGACCTGTCCTATTATTCATAGATTTCACTTCTTCAACTAGTTTTTTAATAAATTCCTTATTACCATCCTTCTTTATTATACATACTTCATTAACTTACAAAAATCATCTAATTCCCTCACAAACTCGCGTCGCGTCATTCGTCAGTCGGAACTTAGATATTTAATATAAACTACTCATAACAAAATAGGGCCCACCATGTTTTATAAATGAATTTTACGGATTCTTTTTATTTTTTCTGTTTTTATGATTATGAATGAATAAATTAAGGTTTTTGAAAGTGTGTGAATATTAACAAGAGTAAGTTTTGCCAATTTTATGAAATTTATTCAAAATTTACAGTTTTTAGGAAGTTTACAGAAATTATTGATTTAAGTAAAGTTTGATTTTTGATTTTTATTATCGACTAAATCAATGAATTTGGTGGTGCTTAATAGCGAGTAGGTTTTCCTCTGTTCCGTATGCACTCTCTGAATCTATCTGGGACACTTTCAATCAAGTGGGTGATGTTTTCCTCGGGTATTCGCTCCCAATACAATTTTAGGGCGTTTATGAGCTCTTGTTGATTAGTCACATTACTGAAGTTCGATTTGAGGCTTCTTTTCAATTGGTCCCATGAATGTTCAATGGGGTTAAGGTCGGGACTCATGGCCGGCTACGGTAAAAACCGTAATATTGGCTTCAGAGAGAGCTCTCTGGGTTGTTCGCGCGGTACGTCTTGGGCGAGCATTGCCTTGCATAAAGACGAAGTTTTCACCCACTCTTTGTGAAAATGGGATGACATGGGGCCGAATTATTCGGTCGACATACCGGGAGACAGTTATGGAGCCTTCTTCCAGAATTACCAGCTCAGTTTTACCGAGCAAGCTTATTCCAGCCCACACCATAACATTTGGACCTCCAAAACGATCCGTTTCATGTATGCAAGGTTCTGAAAAACGTTCTCCTTCTCTTCTCCACACTCGCACTCGACGACCATCGCTGAAGAACTTCACTTTACTTTCGTCCGTAAAGAGTACATTTCTCCAGTTGTCTATTGTCCTCTCCGCATGCTCGCTAGCAAACCTCAAACGTGCTGCCGATGCGCTCTTGTCAATTTTAGACGAATAACACGAGATCTGGAACGTTGTCCGTCTTCATGGAGCCGATTTCGAATGTTTTGATCACTAATTCGTGTGCCAGTCGATTGCCGCAGTCGATTTTGTAAGACGCGGGCGGGAATCGTGCGCTCTCGACATGCAGTCAATCTGATATACCGGTCTTCCTGGACGGTTGTAGCTCGCGCTCTTCCTGATCCAGATCTCCTCGTGACACTACCTGTCTCTAGAAAGCGTTCCCACGCGTTTCGAATAGCTCGTCGCGACACACCAAGACGTCTTGCCACTGATCTCTGAGATTCTCCCTCCTGAAGCATAAACACTGCTATTGTTGCTGTTTCAACATTCATATGACGCCGAGAACCAGGTATAATGATCGCGAGTAACACCGAAATCAAGTCAAAATGAAAAAAATAGACGTGCGACTGTAACATTCAGAATGTGACTGAGGGTACAAGTGCCTGAGTATTTGAGTAATAAATGTTTTTTGGAGTACTTCACCTTTTTTGTCTACCCACCATTGAATTCCTTACTTGAAACATTAATAACGTTAGATAAACATGTCAACAATACTTCGAAATGTTTAACTTCACTATTCTACTACCCAACAATTTTTTTAGACGAAATTTGAGATTAACTTAGAGTGGGCCCTATTTTATTTTGAGTAGTTTAAATTATCTTTTCCTTTTCAACATAACAAATTGTATTATTTTCTTTACTAATAACTTAATTTTCTCAATGTTTTCAAATCATCTTTATTAACCATGCGCAACTCCACTGATTCTGCTGGTTTGACATGATTACTTATGACTTTCGGTTGATCAGGCCTCAAGTCTGTGGGTATCATGTCCAACGAGGAGGATCCTGGTTTATTTATTTTTCGCGATTTTGCTCGTGTCATGACATTAACGATGTTCTCATTTAATTCTTTTAACTCTTTCGAACTCAAACAGATTCTAGATAACGCATCTGCAGCTGCATTATCTGAACCCTTTATATACTCTACGTCAAAATTATATTCCTCTAATACCAAACGAAACTTCATAAGCCTGCTCGATGGATCTTTCATGTCAAATAGGTATACTAGAGGTTTATGGTCAGCCCTGATTTTAAAATATTGCCCATACAGATACGGTTTGAAATGTTTGACGGCCCATAATATCGGTAACAACTCTTTTTCTATAACTGGATAGTTTGATTCAGCCTTATTCAGAGATCTGCTAGTAAATGCTATTGGTCTTCCATTTTTATTCGACAGAACTGCTCCAAATGCTTTATTAGATGCATCGGTTTGTAAAATGAAATAATTTTCTTTTGAAAAATCAGGGTAATCTAAAACTGGGGGGGGGGGGCATAATACGTTTTTTGAGTGTTTCAAAAGACTTTTGACATTTTTCAGTCCAAACGAAGTTAGTATTTTTTCTACAAAGTTGGTTTAATGGTTGCGCAATTTCAGCAAACTTGGGTATAAACTTTCTATAATAATTTGTGAACGCCACAAATCTTTTAACTTCGTCGGCATTCTGCGGACAAGGATAGTTTTTTACTGTATTTATTTTTTCAGGATCAGGTAAAATCCCTTCGTTAGATATACAATGTCCCAAAT